CAATAATAAAAAATTATTTGCAAAGATCCATCTTTTTTCTTCAAAAAAAAATATTGGTACACGTATTGGAGATTTGGAATATCAAATAAAGTTCTTTGTAAGATTTTCATCAATGTAATCCTTCAATGTCAAAAGCTTACATGTAATAAATTGTAGATTAAGCCAAATGGTGGTTGAATCCTTTCTTGAAAATTTATGATACAAACATATGGCCGATGCTTAAGTAATATATTAGCATATTTGTTTTTAAAGATATTTTAAAATTCTTTATACTACCCTAAGATAGCTACCAACAAACTTGTTTTTTTACAAGCTAGAATTGCATAAATGAAAAATGGTATTTCTTTCTTAGCCATCTTTAAAAAAGCCCTTGCTTCAAGAAATAAGAGCTTTATTGTTTATAACTTCTTGATAGGTTTTTCTCAAAAGAATTCTATAGGAAAATCAACCTTATAAATCCTTTGATCTATAGATGGAATATATCTTTTCAACCACAAAAGTCCTAGAATGATAGAATTTGATGAAATTTTAATAATATTGAATATTATTTTGCTAATATGGCCCTCGAATGATATTTCTAGCATTTTAGTTTTATAAGTAATATTACTTGAAAATAAAGGTCGATCATCTATTATTTCTATATAAATACATTTTGACTTCAAAACTAAAAGAATTTTATGAAGTTTAAAAAATTTGTCATCTAAAAAGCAAGCAAATGATCTTGAATCTAATAAGATATTTATTTGAAGTTTTTATAGGCCAAGAAATAAAGATATAGTAAAACAATAAGCAAGTTTGGCAAAGAAAGAAGGACCTTGATGAATTTGAGGTCTTAGAATGTCTAGTTGCATAGACCATATTGTTGTTGGATCTCTCTGTTTTCTTAAATGATTACACTTCTAGTCATAATTATATATTGTTTCTTTAGAAAATTCTTTGATTTATGGCCTTCTTTACTAAAATTTAGATATAAGCCTTATTCAAATCAGTACTTCTTCTCTTCTACTATAAGAAATTTGAACCATATCACATCCATTTGTATATCTTTAGCCTTGGAATTTAGAAATAATGTAATTATTGAAGCAATAGAGTACAAATTTTTAATGTATTGCTTTGTCAAAGTCCATGAATGTTGATCTTGATGACATTGAAATAATCAATTATTATAATTTATAACTTAGTTGATAGCTTCATTGATTATTTATCGAATTAAATAGTGACAATAATAGGTCTTTCATATCATCCATTAGTCTCTAATAAAATCGATTCATAATGGCTTATTCATCTCAATTAATATCATAAGCCAATTGGATGCATAAATTGATACAAAACATGATCCTTGATGTAATGAATGAATCTTTATTGTTGTCTATGAAGCCTTATTATATTTTCTAAATGCCTTTGCAAATACTTCTAAACAAGCTTCAAAGCTGTTTAAGATTGAAAACTTCTTTTTAAATAAAAGAGCAAATCAAGATAAGGCTTGTCATATAAGCAAGGTTCTAATTAAATTAACTTGTGGTTATAGAAAAGTTACTAATCAAATTTAATTAATCAACTCTCAAAACTTGAAGCATGTGCCATCAAATTTTTTTGAATGATTAATCTAAGGCTCTTTATGTTGTTGAATAGGTAATTTTTTTTTGTTGAGGTATAGGTGCTACTACCTCCTTGAATGTAGAAGCTTGAGAAAGTAGTTGCATCACATGCTAAATTGCTCAAAGTCTTGCATTACCATAAAATCTTGCAAAAAATTCCTCAATTTTAATAGTTCAACAAGATAAAGCATTTAATATGTTTATGGTAATATCTAACTTGGACTCAGAAGACTCAACCATATTAACATCTTCACCACCAGCCATCCTAAAAGTAAAAAAAATGAGTTTTTAAATAATACCAATTTAGAAGAAGATACTCTGCAAACTCTAAAGCACTTAGATAACTTCAAGAAGAAAGGTAATCTACTTTCTATTAAGAAAGATTAAGCTCTAATATTAGTAAGAGGATAATCTCAACAAACTATCATAGATACATAATATGAAAGATTAAAGAAGAAGTTGAATAAAAGAATTTTAATAAAAAAAACTAGCAAGAACTTGATTAAATCAGATGAATAGAAAATCAACCAAAATTTCAAGAGATGTGTTATCAAGCCTAGGAATATTTTCAATGTCAATTTTAATATATACTAGGTATTAAGAAGCTTCTCAAGAAATTTCTATATTTCTTGAAGATAAAGCAATTTTAGGAAGTTTTTCAAAAAGTTTCCATATTGTTTGAAGACAAAGAAATCCTAAGAAGCTTCTTAAGAAGTTCCCATATTGCTTTAAGACAAAGTAATTCTATGAAGCTTCTTAGACAACTTTCTTAATTCTCTTAGAACTTTCTAAAATCTATTGGAATATTTTTAAAATCTTTTAGAACTTTCTTAGAATATTCTAAGAATATTTTTAATTCTTCTAAAACTTGATAGAATATTTCTAAAATATTTCTAAAATCTTCTTATTGAATGTCCATAATACTGACTTATCATATACAGTCCTGAGACAAGCCAATAAAGAGCTTCTATTAAAGGATGGCTTATTCCTTTGAGCAACTATAGACATAAATATTCAAGATCTTTAAGTCATCTTCACAGAGTTTGCTTAGACAGATTTGATATTATGATTTAAAATCCAGTGATGAGTAGAAGCAATTGGGATACCACCAACATATGCATGCCTCCATTTTTAGCTCTTTCAAATCCATTAATATTGTATCTAGGAATTACTTTGGTGCCCCATTAGTTTCAATGGGATCAAAGTCATTTTCTTATGTCTTTGGCTCAATTGTCATGAAGCTTGTACTCTTATAGTATGATAATATTGATACTTCTTTCAACATTCTAGAGGTAGTTCTACAACCTATTAACTTTATTATTGTTGTTGACTCCACAAACGTTTAGTATAAGTAACTTAATTATCATGAATGTAGATGGGACTCTAAAATAGGGAGCTACATTGATTGCCATTGGATTTCTAAGCTTTTGGTGATGCTAGTTTTTGCAAGGTGTCTAAAGTATGGCCATTGAATGGGATTTGGCTCCAATTCTTGCTATAATTCTTTGAGAAGTATAGAAAACTTAATTCACATTAAGATAACTTACAAAAGTCAAGCCAATCTAGAATGCTAGAGGATTGATAAATCTAATGTTGAAGAGGCAGTGCTCTAACCATTGAAAGGTGAATGTAGACATTGAGGTCAATAGTCTAAATTGGACAAACCTTGGCAGCCAAATCAAAGTGGAGTGAGTTTGTTCTTATCATATGTATACTAATTAAGTCAACTTATTGATTCATATTTTCAAATTGGTTAGGAGGAAAAGAACCTATCACCTCAAACAAGACATTGTCTAATAGGTGATCATGAACAAGGCACATTGACTTCAATGCAAGAATATTGATGGTGTCGGGTATAGTGATAGCAAAAGAAGAGTGCCAACTATTAATATTATCATGGAAGTATAGCATTGATGGCATTCAAAGTTGGTATTTTGAATTGATAAGATGAACGATTAATATTCACATGAATAGAGGTTCATGGCAAGTTTACATTGATTGAATTTTGAAGAAAGTAGAGAGTAGCAAAAACATGAGTTAGTTGAAATAGAATAGTTTTAAAATTAAGAGGCATTTCCCAAGAATTAAAAGGCACTTGTGTAGTAGATGTAGTGTCTTTTCTTCTCAAAGGAGAGATTGTAGAAGATGTAATGTCCTTTCTTTTCAAGGGAGAGATTATAGTTGTTTTGATATATTATATTGCTAGAATTTCTTAGTTAATGTGTGATTGGCCACTCTTAGTAGGTAGGGAATTAATGGGAGATAGGATCTCTATTGATTTGTTTATACATCCTTTGTAGAGAATCTGTAGTTGATGTGCCACTGCCTTGCTTAATATCTTCAAGTATAAAAACCCTCACTTGATATTATCACTTAAAACTATGGTGCTTGTCCTACTTTTGCATTCAGCTCCATAAGTCAAGCCACAAAGGCTAGAAGGATGTGTTTGCTGTCAATAAAGTTGACCACAACTAAGTATTCTTCCAAATAATGCTCCTTAGTGGCTACGACCTTCTTCGGGACATGGATGTGTTTCTTGACTTCTTTCACCAAAAATCCAGCACAATTGCACATCTTACCTTTGAGAAGTGTCTCTTTAGTTAAGGTTTTGTTGGATTGATTGTTAGTTCACCACATTGTTGTCTCATATACTCTATTGAGTTGTTGATTGAGGCTTCAGCCATGGATGCATCCCCACTAGTAGATGGGTAGTCAATTGGAGGACCTTTATGCACTACATTTACTTATGAAAGCGCCATAGTGTAAAAGGGTCAAAAAACCCTAACCCTAAAATTCCTTTTCCAAAAAAAATACTTTGCTGTTTCTACCTAGTAGCAAAAATAGGTCAGTCTTCAAAGTTACACAATAGCAAGTTCGTCGTCATCGCTGGTGAGGCAAACCTCGCCGTTGCTTCCCTAATGCAAGAAACTCAACTTCCATAAATTGTGAAGCTTCATCGCTCCTCCCGTCTGTGGGTTTGGACTTTTCTACTAGTCTGTGTGGGCGTTGCTACCATGATTTTATTCAACACTGAACCATTAGTTCTATTTCTTGACTACTGTTAAACAACATTTTTTACAATTAATCAATAGTAGTCATTCATCGCAATTAACAACACTAATAATTCCTTTGCTACTGTAATTCATCTTTAAAAATATTTCGAAGTTATTCTATTATTGTTACAAATATTATACATTCCTCGATTAGAAAGCTATTATTCTGCCCTTTCAAAAACAAACCCATGGGTCAAAAGATAAGATTTGAGCAAGTGTTGTGGCATGACCATAGACCACAGCTTGCAAGGTTGAGTTAAAGAGCAACAAAATCAGTGCACTCCAACGACTGTGAACAAGGGTCTAAAGTAGAATCATACAATAAAAACAACGAGGAGGAGGAGGGAGATAGTGGAAGAAAAGGCTGCATGGCTGCAACTTCGGAGCCTTTAAAAAACAGTATATGTACAAGTGCAAGAGTGTTGCGATGGAGGGGAATAAAGCCCACAAAGACAACACCTGCAAGAGTGTGTCGTGTGTGTGTGTGTGTGATTGTGTGCGCCGGCAACAGCTTCCACAGTGTTTGACAGACCTGGGTCGACAAATCATTCAAACCTCAATGCTCTGACAGCTACGCTAAAGTCGAATTCCCATGTGGTATCTAGCTACTCGCCCCCTCTAGCTTTCATGCCGCCCTGTGATTCTGTCTCTTGTGAAGAGTTCCCCTCTGAATCTGATCACTAGACCTGGAATGAACAAAGCTGGAACAATTGGTGTGCGAGGAGAGGAGCGAGAGAAAAGTGTTATTCTAATCTGAGAAAAGAAGGAGACGACTAAAAATTAAAAACTGGGGACAGAGGTGTCGAGAGCTTCCAGTGTTAGGATATGGAGTTTCTCCACCGCCGGGGGTTGCCAGGCCGGGACTCGTCGATTCGTGATGAATCGCCTCCGTCTTTGTGGTCTTTGCTGTTGAATAAGTGTAGTTTGCTGATTTTCTTCCATGCTCCGGATGACCATGAGGAGTTGCGCGTTCTGGTGATTCTCGATATTTGTTCCACCTGCGGCAGTGAGTGGCAGTGAGTGGGAGAGAGTGTGATTTTGAAAGCTGGGAGTTTTATTGAGGGAAAAGATGTTGCAAGATGTAGAAATTTGAGGGGTGAGGCAGTTTCTATAGGATTACGTACCTGGTCTTGAATGGTGCTCTGATCTCTCTCCATGGCACTGTACTTGGCTCTCATGGCTGCGAGCTCGCGTTGCAAAGCTCTGATCTCCATTTGATTGACATTTTCCTGGATTGCGGCGCTGGTGCTGGCAATGGGCTGCGGCTCCGTGCCCGTGGGTTCCCGTGATGTGATACTGACATTATCAGCAGCACTGGCACGATCCTCCTTCACTGAGTTGCTGACTTCAGTGACTGTACTTCGGATCTTAAGTTGCTCGCAAAAGAGAACCTGGACTACGAAACGGAGCGGCAAGCGCTCGTTTTGCGAAGCATGCGTGCAAGCGTCAAGTGAAAGGCGGTGGCAGTTGAGAATGCGACAAAGCCTCTTCCTCTCGTGTTCTGTCAAGGTGGGATGTATCTGCACATTGCACAGAGGGTCATCAGATTCAGCACTGGAGTTTGTCACAAAGGTTGAGAGCCTCCTTGACACGAAGGAGTAACAGATGAAAACCGCATCGCGAATGCGAAAGGAGGACACCACGTGAAAGAGGTACGAACCTTGAGATAAGTGTCTACTGCTCGATACAATCCATCGTCGCACAACCTTGAACCCTCGGGTAGGGCTTCAGCGAGAGATTGGAATTTTATCAAGGGAAGCTTACTGTCCCTTGCAACTTCCGCAAGATAGGCGTCAAGAAGCTTCGCCACTTTTGCCCTTAAATTTAGCGCCGGTTGTGGCTTAACCGCAGAGTCATCATAAATACCCCGTGTTGATCTCTTGTCACCCGAACAAGACCTTGGACTGCCAGCGACAGCTTTATCAATCGACTCCTGTAGATTTGGTCACATCCACAATTAGCTACAGGACAGTGTTTCACACGATAGAGTTGGTGATGCAATTCGAGCTACTCAGGGAAAAGTGCGCCGCTGTTCACTTTCTTCAAAACTAGAAAGGCAAGTACGAGGCTTACATGCGTCAGAAAATAGTCCAAGATGCGGCGCACAAGGTCGATATCGTACAAATATTCACTAGTATGCGAGAAGCAAGGAATGAGCAAATCGCCCAAGTTGCCTTGATCCAACTGCAATCCTGCTCGTCGTTCCAAATCCACCTTGCACTCAACGTCGCAGTTCAGCATGTAAGCTGCACGTGTCATTCGAAGTAAGAAACTGCAAGAAACGACGTCTTTCTCTTTTGGCAGCATGCTAACAATCTCCTCAAGAATGAAGCGGTTCCTGTTCTGGTCAGCGATGGATTCCTGCAACTTCGTTGGGCTGTCCTCTGCCATGTCCTTGGTTGAGCAGTTGTATAGGCTTCCTCCTTTTCTAGGTGAGCAAATCGGCGAGTTCCTTCTCGTGGATGCAACACTAGCACTGTAAGTGCCGGTGCCATTGCTCAAGAATGTTCTCTCTTCTGGTTTCACTAATCCTGGCAGCCATCGCTGAGCATAATACTCCAAAGCGCCACCCAGAAGATCTGGAGTCATGTACTTCAGCTTGAGAGCTTCTATTACTTCACTGAAACAATAGATTGTCAAATGTGAGACGTCCTCGTACCACCAATCTTTCGGCGCGACTCTAGAAACTGTTCCTTCCAGCGTGGATCTAGGCGCTGTGCTAGGCGAGCAATCCTTCTCCATGTCCGAGTAAGGCCAGTGAATGTTCCGTGGATCGGTGCAGGCCTTGTCCGCAACAGACTCGGCGCATCTCTTCACTAGATTCATGTCCGCGGCCCAGGGGAGAAGCAGCTCACAAGATTGGAGAACGATGATAGACTCCTGCCAGGAAGTCAATACCACAAAATTGAGATACGCTTCCGCTCTGCTCACAACATTTCCTTCCTCAAAGGCTTCCGTCATTTCGAGATACTCCGCGACGCAACGAATAGTGGCGACATTTGTAGGCGTGAGCTCCTCAATGATACCGTAACAATACTTGACCACCACACTGAAGGCTTCAGCTCCTCCAGGCACATCGACCAAGTTGATATATGCTTTCCGTGAGTCACAAGATTGTGAGGCTAGTCGGAAAAGAAGACCGCTCCTTGACAAGAGTGGGAGCTGTAACACCACAAAAAATAACAACATAAAATGTCAACACTGCACACTCACACACACGAGGTACCCACTACAAAGAATAGAGAATGTAGCAATCGCATTGATGCGCGCAGCGATGATAGTACCTTGTGCAGATGAAAAGAGATGTCGTCGACTTCCACGAGCAAGTCACTCGGCTGGTCAAGTGATACAAACCTGAAACTAACCAAAACCACGCTCGGCGTAAGTTCGAATTCTAAATTTCGTAATGCTTGCATTGACTGAAGAAGCAATCTGCTTGATGTAGTAAACACGTACTACTCTTCTAAAACTAATCGAGAGCTGAAATGCAAACAATTCGCTGTGTGACGTAGAACTCACCAGGTGTAGTCGTCAACTTCCTCAAAGGTTGCCTCGGACGAATTCTTTCGGTTATCTTCCTTCTTAGGACTTCTGAAGCTGGTGCACTCCACAATCTGTTCACCTAGGATTGAGCTTGCAAGCGAGCTTGATTCAGTAGAACTCTCGGGCGACTCTGGCAGTAAAACAGACTTTGGACTTCGCACCTTAGGCGATTTGGTGTGCATGCGCCGAGACTTAGTGAAGCTCGGCGACCTCTCATGCCCGGGTTGTGCCATCACTGCTGCCATTCTCGCAGGGAACTTTGCAGATTCTTCAGTGAAAGAGAAACTCGGTCAGAAAAAACCAACCCTCACTTCGTCAGTGAATCTGCTCTGCTTCCCACTTCAAGCATCTCTATAACTCATAGCAGATGGCATCGGTGCTCTACAAATATATGTATTTATTTATTTTTCTCTAAAATGCAATGTCCCAATGTCTCTGTCAGCTCCGATGCCCCGTTGAATCGTATCTGTCTGTACCAAATTATCCTTTACGAAATGGAGCCTCTACCTGTGGATATGTACTCTAGGCTGTTCACCACACTTTGAAATTCATGATCACCACAACTCCATCATCTGTAACCCCAATTGCAGTGACCCTCCAATCTCCTCACTGCCAATACGTAGAGTTATCAATAGCAGATGCGGAGAACACAATCTATTCAGTCCACAATCTGTTCTAGCAAAAAGGTGTTGTCCCTGCGCTTCAGTGTTCATGCGATCCAACGATCTGAAATGCACACACAAGTCCACACTGGGATATGTTCCCGAGAGTGCCAGATGTTCGAGAGCTCTGAAGACAAGAGGGTGTGAATTAAGAAGCACTAAATGAGTAGTTGATGGAAGGTGCCTAAAATTAGAGCGAGTTATCCTGAATCCGCAAGGCTGGAAAGAATGGGTGGGTAGTTGGACTAGTACTGTGGAGGTAGCGAGGGAGGAGGCGAGGGGATCGCAAGCAAGGCGGGCAGCCTGCTCTCTCATTAATGACTGCGCCGCGATACCTGGCTTCTGGCTCCATTTGCGTGTAACTGCTGATCATTTGCGTTTAATACTCACCTCCCCGATAATAATAATCCACCCCGCCCCCCTGCCACCTTTAATTTAGGTGCTTCTGCTAAGAACCAATCACATCCCGAAATGTATATCGAAAGTTGCAACATGACTTGGACTACTGCTGCCTCTCCGCCTCTTCCACTTCGGCATGTTCCAACAGCTGGTATTGTCTCGAGATTGAGAATCTTTATTCGCAGCTTGACTGCCTCGAACCAAAAATTCTATATTCTGATGACTCATGAAGAAAAGGGGGAAAAATACAGGAATTTTTTATTTAAAAAAATGTATATGCACTTATCTCCCACTCTGTCTTGCTGCAAATTACTCACTGTGATTACTTTTAGCACTCCAGATTTATAACTCCTTGCCTTTCTCCTGTACAACTTGTCAGTTTTTATCACTATTCACGATGGTGATGACTTAACTAACTCAAGCGCTCCTCGTCGAATATGACCGTGTATCACTGATGAACTAGATTCAGCAGAGTATAGTAATAGCACTCTGCAACGTCCCTCGTAACTCATGCACTGACTTGTAAAGCATTCGTTCATATTCCCTCAGTACATCAGAAAACAAACAAATACATAAATAAATAGAAATGAGATGATGTTCTACATTCTTCGATGATCTCATCCTCAAGGTTCTCCAAACCAAAGAATCGGAGAGCTGGGTGGACAAACGTGTGTTAATGCAGCACAGAATTGAGAGGAGAGCACAACGGGGAAGGGAATTCAAGGCTCATCTGTCACAGAGCAACTTCCTCCTCCTTCGTCTCCCCGGCATGTAATGCCAGCTTTCCAGCGTGTGCTTCGATCACGACTAGCCACTCGATGAATTTGTGGACTACCCATCGTCGTTAACTTCTACCACCAGACCTCCTGAACACCCGTTACGGTGACACACGCTCACCAAATTACCAGCTCACAACTTACCAATATTACATCGCGGATCCTTGGCGAACAGCCAATTTTTCCCAGCTCGAAGGAATTTGTAACCTTCTACAAGCAAGACAAGTGGTGCAGCGTTGTACTCTTGCGGTCTGGATTTCAAGTTAATCTGTTGTGGTAATTCGTCCATTCAGCACATGGTCCCACCCGGAGGCCAGGCTTTCACGATCTCTTTGGCCCCGAAGGAATTAATTTACATGCAACATGTGATTCGGCCTTTGCGAATTCGCCACTAGCTGTCAACTAATTCTGCAGTTAAATTCTCTCTTAACTCCCATGTGAGAACGTGTGAGGCGCATGGATTTCTCGAATGAAGGTTTGTTGCGCACATGAGATTGCCTCATAGTTTACTATTGAAAGCCTACACCCTGAGTGGCAACTACAATAAACAAGGAGAAAAAATTAATTAAAACTCTCACAAGTTTGCTCCAAGCTGCAGAGTTGGTGAGGAAGCAACTTCGACGCGTCAGACAAGTCGCACCCGTCAAAAGGGCAAATGGGGGGATAATAATTTACAAGGGAAGCGGCCATAAGTTCGCGTGCAACCCTACAAAATATGCAGGGGCGGACTAGAAGGTTGAAGATTGAGAAGCTCTCCCAACACTATTCTCCTCCTTCATGAGAACTTGTACAAAAATGGACAAGTCGACGAGGAAACTGGTGGGCGATCCTTCAAAGCATCGCCGTCTAATTTTGCCATGGCCCCAACACTAATGGCTTGTTTAAGCGGTGGTCAATATTAGGTGTCTAACATTAAAACCCATATGTAAAAAATGCATCTTTGGGATTTCCTCACACCAACTTGTGTATTAAAGTTCAACCCCCCTCGCCAAATTCAACGCCTTGCCTCACGTGGATGCTAGTGCAATCCCTTCGGAGGAAAATTAAGGGTCCCCAACAATTTCTAATCCGCTTCCATCATTGAAACTTCCAATTCGGAGCCTGAGCTTGGGCTCTTGCATGTGAGGCCGTCCCTTGTTTTTCTGTCAAGATTCATTGCTAAAAGTCTCGAGCTTTCATGAGGGGAATTGATGAACGAGGAGTCCCGCTTCCTCTTCCCCTTCTCTTCCGGTGCTGTAGCTATTGCATGGTACACCAGAGCGGTGATGCTTCGGCTAGCTTAGGCTGATGCTTTTGGATTCCCCCTACAGTGAAACACCCACTTGAATTTAGTCTTTTCTCTTCAATTACTTAAAGCCTGCAGGGAGATAGCACTAGAAGTGCTTTTGCATTGACCATGAACTTCGGCATTACTCACAGCCAGCCTACATTAACAAAAAGAGCTTCAAAACCTGCTCACCGAGCACTGATAAAAGCTGGATTAGTGAGTGTCCCATTGTCCTTGAACATGGTTACAGTCTTGTAATTGGTTGAGATCTGCATCCTCTTCTGCCTCTGCAACTTGATCTTCATCAGCCTTCCCAGCACCGCATCACACCGAATTGCTGCCCCAATTATCAGTTTGCTACGCTGGGTTCATATCAATTGCCTTGTTCTGTATAACAGTGTTTCATTCACATGCAAACAAACAAACAACTAGATGAGTCGATGTTTAGGTTTGTCACTGAATCCTTCACTTTGAGCGTATGAGAAAAAAATTCCAATTTCTTGTTAGTGGTTGTGTAAGAGTGGTTTGAACTGATGGATTAATATTTCAGAGATCAGATTTCTTACATATCTCGAATATGCTGTGATTATCTTTTTCATTACTGAATTGTAATTTATGGAAGGAATGAGATGGGATTTTTTGAATTTGGACTCATAGTGTTTCCACGCCTCTTGTGATGCAGAGCATAAAACTTATGTGAACAGTTCAAATGGTGTATTTATTTGTTGGTTGTTTATAATTGGTTTCTATTTATTAATGGGCATGAAGGGGTTATTATATTTTCATATCGAAAAGGTTGCCAATTTAAGAGGGTGTAGCACATGCTCCATACAAGGCCACCTTGCTCTGTTTTTTTTTTTTTTTTTTTTTTTTTTGTCTCTTAGGGGTTTTTTCGACAAAAAAGAAAACATTGAGAATATAGTTGAGAGGGAGTTAATTCTTGGAGGACAAAACAAACCAAAAAGGCCAAAATGTTCCTCTTGTCTGGAAAATTTTGGGAAAAAAATAAACAGAATAATGGTAGTCTGTTTCTTATCGAGTATCTGACCCGAGGCATGGATAGAAAAATGGGATCATATTCTAGTTGCAGCCTGTTTGATAGTAATTTTGTATTTGTTCAAGTTTTATCATCATGTGGTGGCTTTTAAAATTATTCCCTACAAAAATGCACTATCCACATGCCAAAATACAGTCAACGTGATGGACTATATATATATATATATATATATATATATATTCATAACAATGATGTTGTGGTAGTCAAATATTCACTTTTAATGGTTTTTATGTTTATTTTTACTTTTATTTTTATGAAATAACGTGACTTTGTAAGTAGCCATACCAACTTCCAATTTGCATCAAATGATGTTATGTTTTTAATCTTAATTTTGTTAAACCATGAACCAAGACGACATGAAGTATATTTGACAGTTACCCAAGTTTGTGGTTTTAAATTTTTATGATGCAATAGAAACTCATTTAGCTAAATCTAAGTACTTTTATAAAGTCATGATTTTCATGCAAGTTTATTGTGAACCGAGATTAACTAAGATGTTACATTGTATTTGATCATTCAGATTTCAAAGCTAATAAACTACCTTTTTGAAGCATAGAATGAGTTACATATCAAAGTGAATAAGGGAATGAATGAATGAAGTAGAAATGATAATGATGTCAAGAAAACAAATATGGACTTAATGCTGAACTATTGGAGACATATGTCTCATGAGTTTTCCATAATTTATTTACTATATGTATCTTTTGTTTTAAGTTCTATTTTAAGACTTTTAAATTTTGATGCAAAATATCAAACACTTAGTATATTCATTGTTTTATTCAGTGTTCTGGATTGTTTTTGTGGGTTCAAGTAAAACAACCATTAGATTTATGCATTGGAACAAGGAAATGTGAGTAGACAAAGCTTGTTGTCCAACCATTCATTGAACATGTTACCCAATGTTGTCAAAATCATAAAATTGTTCAATGTTTTCAATTGACACCATGTGAAAGTGGACGAATGAATAATGGATACAAGTATTATCACATTCATCCATATGGCATGAGGTTGCAATACAACCAATATTCACTAAGCTAGGGCCAATGCAACTATCTTCAAAGAAAAAAAACGAGATCTGCTCCTTGTCTTGTTTAACTTATTTCTTTATTAACCCTTCATTTGTTTGTTTGTAGGTTTATAGGTTTATAGGTTTTTTTTTTTTTTTTTTTTTTTTTTTTTCCTCCTCCCATTTCAAGTGTTGTTACCATGTTAAGTAAAGCCATTCCAAAACCAAAACCAAAGCCAGGCAAAGGCTTCAAGGCAAAGAAAAGTCGAGCCCAAAGCCAAGACCAATAAATAGCCCCTATAGCCCCCCCACTCCTACGAGCATATGTGGGTTCTAATCTTTGAGAATGTTTGTATTTAGAAAAATAAATAAAGGAAATAAAAGGAAAAAAGGAAGTGAAAAAAATCATGCATAATTCAACTCAATTAAATATCTAAAGGGTCACTACAGGATCTATATTATAAAACAGTTTATCGAGATTTTACGTGTATTTGTTTTTGTCGTGGACATGCAAGTTCGTTTGCAGTCATTTAAATGAATTGATAAACTTGTTCCCAAGTCAGGTTTCATTCCATGAATAGGGGCACAAGCCTCACTTTTCTTCCTTTCATTAGTTTTCATCAAGCTCGTCAAATGTCTATCCAAACAACGTGTAGATCATTTTTCATGAGTCAGACTCTCAAAAAA